ATGTGCAGTTCAAAAGTTAAAGATCGAGAGAAGTGAATCTTGTGTAATCGTGTTTAAACATGATTCCACATGATTGCACAACTTATCAAAAACGAGAGCATTTTTGCTCTTTTACCTCTTAAAGCAAAGCTCTCTCGCAATACAGGTGTGGTTAAAGGTTCAAGATCAAGTGAAGTTTGACACGAATAGTGAAAAAGGTCATGGACCGGTTAGCGATGATGCCACCGGACAAAATCAATCTATACAAAAAGAGCCGAAGCTCATTTAGAGATTTACTAAGAGAGTGGTCAATTTCGAGGTGCATTCGAGCCTTAGATCGTGTTCACTGATGCTCTTTCATGCGGCAAGAACGCATAATAACACAGACTCCGAGATATAGTATCAAAAGTTTTGACTTCAGGGAGTTACGCTATCGTAAACATAGTAGAAAGCTAACTTTGCTGTGTTGTTATGGAGCCGACAATTAGTAGACCGCAAATGGATATGAGAATATGCTTTAATGAGAAGAGGAGTAAACAGGGAGCCAGCCAGTGTCTATGTGAAATCTATTGTCATATCGTATGAGCTTGGTTACCTATAGTTGAGCAGATTAAGGGCTAATCCCACAATTGTCAGATGTTTTATTCAGTCCCCTTTGATGAAATTCATTGATACTGATCATTGGTGGTCAATGCGTTTTCTTAGTTGCAGAAGTGTGGGAATCCTTGATTTAAAAAGAGCCGCCAGTAATTTGAAAATTGTAAAAAAGGAGCAAAAATACTTAAGTTAGGCTTTAGTAAGAAAATGAGCGCTTAAAAATGGCGAAAATAACAATTATTTTTGCCTGTGGCGAAAACACTCTTGTGATTAGAATGCTTTTGTGGAATCATTGTCATTAAAGAGGGTGCTGTGAAAACGAGGGCGCTAATTGCTGCTAAAGCATAGATCCGAACTTCTCGTTCTCATAGTTAACAACGATGTCACGAGAGAGCAGTGTACTTCGGTTTTTACACCGAAGATGTTAAAGTCTCCGACCTCTTCAATCTTAGCCAGTTGAGCGGTTCTATTGAATAACTTTCAAGAGAGCCTGGGTTCGAAGGGGCACTTAACTAGAACTTGCCTGGAGGGGTGGGGTAAAACACGTCAACTCTGGTTGGAGTCTTCACTTTCGATGAGGCTCTCTTACTTTCCACCTCTTAGATCTGCTTGGAACTTTCAACTACCCTTCCCCCCTCAAGGAGAAACGTTTCTCCTGGGGGAGGGGGGGAGGGGCGTACGGCCTATCGCTTCACGTAGGCTGTTATGCGCCATCTTGTCAACCAATCAGATGTTAAAGCTAAAGCAATCACGACTTGGTCACCCGCGATTTCCCGCATTTAGGCTAATTTATAAGTATACCCAATACTTGTGGGGTATACTTCGAAACCGTATCAGATTTTTTTACAGAAATGTCCAGAATATAATTCACTTTGTAAGCAAAATAAAGCACCAAATAGACAACACTTAAGCAACCTCGTGACGCAGAGAAATACATGTTACATTTTTCCCGGAATTTTGATGAGAGGATGTTTCTCCAGTTTAATGATCTTCAGAAGCTAGTTATCCACTTCTAATTATTAGTTTCTTTGTTCATCCACAGAATGTACATCATGTTTAAGATCATCCT